TGTCTTTAAGTTCGGCAACCTTCGCTGGTCGAGGGTAGAGGTAGGAAAATAAAGAAACCACCGCACAGTGGTCAAAATTTAACAACAAAAAGTCCTATGGAGTTTCTTAAAAACTTGGTGGATAATCGAGGGAATTTTGTAGAACTGTGCGCCAGGTGGTGCGCGAAATGCAGAAGACGGCACCTGCACCAATCACAGACGTACGTCGGTTGGTGTGGGGACCATGGCACTCACGATCTGCCTCGTAGTTCAAGGCCAGTCATCTTTTCTCGACGAAGAGAAAGAACCGAGCGAACCAAACGAAGTGGACGACAAGGGACAGAACATTTCGTGCCGCATTTAGATTTTGTATTTTCGTTGGGTTTTGGAGGTCATTTTTAACGAATTATTTGGCCGAGATCGCTTTTCTACCTTACTCACTTAGTTTGTGGTGCTTGATGCTCAACTGGCTTGGCTTGGCTACCTGTTGCTCGCTCACTGTTACATTTGATGAATTTTTAATTTTATTGGGTATCCTACATTATTATTATGGATCTAGGTCTTGAATAATTATTATATATTCTATTATTGTTGCAATTCTGGTTTTAGAATTGTTTATTTATTTTAATATTTATAAGTTTATATATATTTTTTCCTATTTTAGTTTATATACCTATATACAATATTTTCTCTCTGGTTTTCTAGTTTTCTGAACATTGCAAATTTTTAATACATACTCATAATAATTAAATTACTATATTTTTGCAATATTTATGGTTCATAATTTTTACGCAACCCACTGAATTTCTTCATAATTTACAATTTTTTTAAATTATTATTTTAAAATTGTGCATACTTTTTTAATATTATATTATGTATCAAGTTTGGTTAACACTTTAGTCACGAATTCAAATGAGTGCCTAGAAAAGTTTATACTATACTTTTTCTACGACAAATACTTAATATTATCTAAAAAATTTATTAAATTAATTAAATATTTGTATAAAGTGACATCTATACGAAATTAAAGTAAATGGTTTTGATTTTAAATAAACTTAACAATTATTGATAACTTCAAAATATTATTATGTTAAGAAGACAACTGTCAACAAACTTAAAACTAACTTCAGCCAGTGACTAAAGCGTATCAAGTTTTATAAACGCCATTTTAGTTACGAGTTTTATTAGGCACGAGCGAAGCTTGCGAGCGAGTGTTTAATAAAAACGAGTGTATGGAGAAGTTTATAAAACGAGTTGCATACTATACTTTATCTACGACGAACACAAAGAAGAATTTAAAGCAAATTTTTATTGTTAAAAATTTGACATCAGATTCTGTCAACTGTCAACAGATTTAACCTCGCTTTTTCCCAATTTATAATAAAGCTAACTTCGGCCCGTGACTAAAATGCCCAAAAGCCATTGTTGCTAACTTCAGCCCGTGACTAAACTGCCATAAAGTCACAGCTTATCAATGGGGGAGTAGATAAAAGGTATTATGTTATTGTTTTACGCTTTAAAACATTATATAAAATTAGGTATCATTTTATACATATAAATAAATATATCATTATCATTTATGTATCATTCATGTATCATTTTATACATATAAATATATATAAGTATAAATTTTATTTTAAACGTTATTTTTTTTTAATTTAGAAAATTTTAATATTGCTATTCTATACATTTTTGTGGAACTTTCAATTCTCCACAATAATATGCATTTTCCATTTTTGCCGATTTTATTTGAAGTTTCTAAAAATCAAAAGAAACTGTCATTTTCAGTCAAGTGCATACGTTTTAGCCGATCAGCACAAAAGTGTAATTTTATAGAAAATATTTTCTTAGAACTGGTATATTTTTATCTGTGATGACCTAAACCGTCAAATTTTTTTTTCAAAATCCATCCTTTGATTTAATACCCAATGATTCTATAAACCAAAGATTCAAATGCATCGTTACAATATCGTCTTGTTCAGTACGTACAGTCGTACCACCTGCAAAACTCAATTTCCTGTCGATAATTTTCCCCCACCCTTTCTTTACAAGAACACTATAAGAGGCTGTAATTTAAAATAAATCATTGCCGTCGCACAATGTCCAAGATTATTTTTATAATGTCTATTAGCAAAAAATAAAAATGTTAACAATTTTTTTTTCAAACATCCGCAACAAATATCGCTTTTGAACTAAAAAAAATTAAAATGAACATTTTTAATAAAAATGGACGATAAAACACAAACTTGGTTACAGTGTGCGGCGTCTCTCCCACTCGCACGAATTTTCTCGACACAAAGGCTTTCATTGTGTTTTTTCCAACATCCAATCGCCTGAGTCCTATTACACAGATAATTACTACTTTTCTGCTGCGTTGCCTGATTTTCAGTACCACGATTAAATCACGTACCATCGAAGAGCAAGAACATAATAAGGCGTCTAAATGCAAAAAACATTCTTGAAAAACTTTTTCTTTTTTCGTAATTTTTATTTGAAGTAGTTATCTATTCGTTCCATGTCTATGATCCTTCTGCAAAATGTGGTATTTTTTATAGTATTCATCCAAGAAGGCTTTGAGTTTCACCCACACAATCAAGAGTCAACTAAAATAATATGTGAGGACACCTGGCAACCCTGATAGACACTGAACATACAACTCATAGACAATATTGTGTCTTTAAAGATAACATAAAAACAAGAAATTAAATCAAGCGAATCATAATGAATGGCACCATTAAAATAAAGTACCTGAGACATGTTTTTTCATCGTAGACGGTTTTTTAATTTTGCTGCTAAAGTAGGTAGCAAGAAGCGTTCTAGTACTCGAGTCGTGGTAAAATCCGCATAAAATGAAAATAAATCGTTACGCTTCGATGAAACTGTCACCATACGGTAGAAGGAAAACACTTGACGTTTGACAGATGCTACAAAAAGTGGCACTTGGATTTCCCTTGTAAATAATTTTTTTAAACAAATTTTTCTGCATTTATTTACTGATTAAAATAATTAAAAAATCGTACATGTGGCAATGGCGCTTTTAAAATCTGTAATGACATCTTAAAAACAACATCCTGTCGACCCATTAAAAGGTCCGTAGAGCCAACTATATTTTTTCATAAACCAAATCCAATATATCTGCAAAACACATTTAATAAAAATATATATTAAATCTCAAAAATTTAGGTAGGTAGTAGGTATATATTTTTAATTTCATATTTTTTTTTAACACAATATACCTAAACCCTCAAATGGGCGTAGCCACCTTATAAATTTATGCTTAACTTTTTTTCATATTTCATATTCAGTTTTTATTTAAAGTTAATATAATACAACAATGATTGTTTTCTTTGATACTTATTTTGCTAAATTCCTTTGAAAATGCTGGGGCATCAAAATTGCAGATGTTTATGATTTTATAATCACTACACTATAAGGTTTCTTTTGATAAAAAATTATATTTAATTCTAAGAAATAATAAGAGATTGCCGAACAATAAATTATTTTATTTATCCCATAAAAATTGTTTTGACAAAACTGTACCCAAACCCAATTAAAGTATAAAAAACAAATTGTACATTTAGTGTTAAAATAAGTCACGAATTTAATGATCTTTTCCTGAGCGTGAATGCACTATACCTCAACTTACATCCTACAAACTCAGGTCAAAAATCCTTTAATTGTTATTCCCAGAAGGTTAGCGCTGTAAACCTAAAATACCTCCCCTAGTCTATTTTTAAAACAGGTAGATTTTAAACAAGTGCACCATGAATTTAACCTTCATTAAATAATAAATAAACGTACTATATTAATTCGGCGATTCGACCTGGAATAGAAACACATAAAAACATAATTACAGTTTTTAAACAAATCGTACTTATTTCATGAAGGTTACAAAAAATGTTGATTTAACTGAATTTATAACAGTTTGCCATGAGATGGAAACAAAGGAACGGGCGTCCACTCGATTTGCCCGAAGCATTTTGGCGGGAGTCGACTTTTAACGGTCAAAAACTAACAAAAACTTACTCAAACGTTTTCGATGTTTTTTTTTGGAATGTCGTTTAGGCCTGTATTCTTGGATGAGTGTGGATCTAGTCACAATTACGAAAGAAACGTGCACCAAACCCTCACCCATCGAAAAAATAAGCCATCGATGATTTTTCTACGTAAAACACTTTTAAATTAATTAAAAACACTTCACTCGTACTATTAATACTACGTCTACCACCGACATCCACTATACGCTAACTTACAGATTCAAATAAAGACGGATTTATTTTCAAAAATCATGTAGCCGATTTATCGAGTGGTGGGGGTAGAATAATGATCCCTTCCGCCAATGAAAACGCTGGAACTTAGTTTGGTGGAGGAGGGGGCGATGCTACAGCGCTTGGGTGACGTACGTCTTTGATAGGCTGCAGCAGCCTGGCTGCTTGATTTTGTGATTGTTACCGATTTTATTGTGGTTTTAAAACAAAACCAAGATGGTTTCAACGGTGGGAATTGATAATTAGGCGATTTTCGATTGTTTTTGTAGGCGAATAGACAAAGGATTGTTGGTTGCAGGCTGACCAACTAGACAAAGCGTTTGAGATAGTTAGGAGGCTTCGTTTCGTACGGGCATACCGATGATGATTTGTTGACGGTATAAATAACCAAAGACGAAAAAATATAGGACAAAAAAATGTTATTTGTTATAAAAAAACAAGAAACGATGTTTTTACATTTATATTTGTGTTTTAATCGCTCACAATATTATAAATTTTAATTAAATCAAAATTTAACGAGAATACGAATACGAATATACAAAACTTTTGAATTAAAATATATTTAAAAAAAAATTATTTATTATTTTAAAAAGGTTATAAATCAATTCATTCTTGAAACTTTCAGTGAACATTGCACATTTTAAATGAAATTTAAAAAAATTTGAAACAAATATGTTACAAAAGAATCTCCCAAAAGTTGTCCATCTACATTTTAGAGGTCTATGGTAGCGCGTGACGTAACGATGACGTTTCGGTATGTTTCCGCATCGACCGTCGGTAGCTTGGTGTAAAATTGCCAACAAACTGCAGTTTCGATGTAATCCAGCGATTAATTTTGCCAGAAAGTCGTGAAAATATCGTCGAAAATCGAAAAACAGTGCGTGACTAGTGCCGCGGACATGGAAAAGTGCCCAAAACGCACCCGATCGAACTGAAATAAGCTACGGGAAGCTTCGACATAACCTTAAAAATCGTTGACATTTGTGCAAAATATTTAAGTGTCAAAATTTAATAACACACCAGATCAAATTCGACAACAAGGTAGATCCAGTTTTTCGGAGTTTATTCCCGATTCGAGGGTAAGGAATTTTTAGAAATTATGCGTTTCACACACGCCCATCCCCTCCATGATGACGTCAACACGGGTAATTTTATAACTCGAACAATCGTACATTCCGAATTTGGATAAATTTTCCACAACAAAATGAAAACAAAGCAAAAAAATCATTTTACAAAATATTTATCGTGCAAGTATACCAAATACAAACAATTTTTTATATTCCACTGCTTAATTACTAAGGAAACAGATGGTACATAAAAATAGGTTAATAATAAAGGGCCTTAATGTTATTATAACAGTGTTAAAATCCGCATTTTAACAACAACAACAAATAATTTAGTTTGGGAAATGGATTTTTTTACTTTATTAAATGATAAAATTATTTTATTTAAGATGGAGAAATCTTTGCTGCATACTCGATCAAATTGTTTTTGTAAAACCCCTTTAATTCGAAAAATATCACAATTTGATTCGAGCAAGTTTTGTAGGTCAATGTAGTTCAGCTAGAAGCACCCAACGGCACCCAAAACTGCATTTTGCAGAATAGCTCCTCAAATTTTCTACATTTAAAAATGACATAATTTCCAAAAACCTAAACGTCATAAATTTAGGGGTAAAGTAATGTTATAGTAATGTCAGTAATTTGACAGGTGAACTTTACAACATCTATATGAGGAGCAATCAGACAAAATCAGATAAATCCATTTTAGTGATATGCAGAAACATGCAAATCACTAAAATGGATTTATCTGGTTTTGTCTGATTGCTCCTCATATATCCTTGCACCTTGACTTTCATATTATAAGACTCATAAGTAGGTATATAGAAAGTCTTCAGTTGAACCTAACCTAAAAATGATGTGACAAAATCTTATGAAATTATTTAATTGAATGCTTAAAAAAATTGTACATAAAACACGGCGACGAAAGGTTATTAATTGCCTCGATAGAAAAGATAACCTCAATTATCTATATTTAAATGTCAAAATGTCAGTGTTGCCAACGGAAAAAAAGTACCAAATTATAGTTTATATTATTTTTATTGCATTAAATCTAATCTAATTCTTCTTCTAGTTTATAAACTAGCCAAACTGTCAGCTATTTTAATTGAAAATGTATTTTCAACTAAATTAGCGGCTAGTTTACAAAACAACCAAGGATCTTGGCTAATTTACTTGAAATTATTAGGGAAACTAAAATACCTGGATAGTTTGTATACTATCCAATTCAATTTGGCTAATATGAAAACCAAAATTTCTAGTAACACAAAATAGCCAAGCTTTAGCTAGTTTGTAAACTAACCAACTAATTCTCTGGCTATTGCCCATTTTAGTTGGGTTTTTTGCTCAATGGGGCGGGGGGCCCAATGGGGCGGGGTCGGTTGGGTTGTGTTGTTGAGTTTGGGTTGGTTTGGGTTTTTTTCTCTCATTTTTGACCATTTGACCAATGGGGCGGGGTCGGTAGGGTTGTGTTGTTGAGTTTTCTAACAAGGAAGCGTTAAAATTTTGCCTATGATTCATTTTAAAAACGTTAAAATGCACAAAACAAATCCGGTTAGAGAATTGGTTGGTTAGTTTACAAACTAGCTAAAGCTTGGCTATTTTGTGTTATGAATTGAAATACAAACTATCCAGCTATTTTAGTTTCCCTAATAATTTCAAGTAAATTAGCCAAGATCCTTGGTTATTTTGTAAACTAGCCGCTAATTTAGTTGAAAATATGTTTTCAATTAAAATAACTGACAGTTTGGCTAGTTTATAAACTATCCAAATTTGCACATTAGCGATAACAGATATAATAAATACACATTTTAGTAATGATTAACGTGAAAACTTTAACTTTTCAATTCAGTAATAATCGTCAAAAAATAAGTCGTCTAAATTTAAACAGCATTTAGCATTAATAAAAGCGTTGATTAAGAATTCTTTAAAGTCTCCACTCAACGGTAAAGTACCATTATATTATGTATTATATATAATATTATGTTGCCATACGTTTTTTAGACAACTCAAATATAAAAATGGTTGATTTTAAGGTTATGTTTGTGCAAAAATTATTTTTTACTAATTTCTTAAAAATGTCCAAAATTATATTAGGTAAAGTTATCATTAGTTAATTCTGCACCAACAAATGTACTTACCGAATTGGATCCTTTGGCAAAACATGAAAATGCAACGAATTCTTGAATTTTATTTACAATTAAAAACGCAAGATAAAATACACACACTAACGTAACTATATAAGCATTTAAGCGTTGAGTTTCTGAATCAATGATATAGATGGCGCGCGCGTCAAACGCTTTGATTAAGAGTAAAAGTAAGGTTATAATAATGTGAAAACTTTGACAGGTTATCTTTAAACATCCATATCTTCCAAGCTAAAGACTTGCGGTGCAATTTCGTTGTATTGGTTTGTAGGTGAATGTAAATAGAGAGATCATAGTGCAAAGCGGAAACGATGTCCACCTCGAATCAGTTCCACTTGCGCGAGGCGGAACACCAGCGCTTCCAATCCACCAGCAGCGCCGAGGAGAACGAGTCGGGTTCCGAGGAGGAGCAGCCCATCCTGTACCACCAGTACAACCAGTACGTGACGGAGGAGAGGACCGTCAAACGGCGGGGGCACTTGCCTAAAGACTCGGTGAAGATCCTGAAGAACTGGCTGTACGAGCACAGGTTCAACGCGTACCCCACCGAGATGGAGAAGCACATTCTCTCGCAGGAGACCAACTTAACCGTGCTGCAGATCAGCAACTGGTTCATCAACGCGCGCAGGCGGTACCTCCCGGAAATGATGCGCCGGGAGGGTTACGATTCGTTGCACTACACGATAACCAGAAGGAGGAAAGCCTCCAGGCGGAGCAACGGGGAGGTGTACCACAAGGGTAAGTGAAAAAGGGCAACTTTGCTGATGTGTTGAACAAATATTGGAGGTTAGAATTTCGTATATTTTTTTAAAAACATCCCTTTGTATATTTGAAATAAGTTACTGTATCTTTTGACACCGTAATATTTCTTAAAAATACAATGGGGTAGTTAAATTTTTTCTAACCCATACTTTTCATGGTTTTATTCAAGGTGTTTTGTAATATTAAACATTTCTGTGAAATCAGAATTTCAATTGAGTTTACCGTTTTCGAGATATATACAAAAAATATAAATTTTTATGACGTTACAAACCTCGCCATGTGACCAACATTCTAAGATTTCTATTGGTTGAAAATTACCCTGTTGTCAAGTTGTCTTGTTAATAATTTCATTCGGTTATGTCAGAAAATACCCGAATAGGTTATGTACAAATACTGTCACTGTCAGTTGAGTGAAAGATGGTCACCAAATTCATTAAGTACCTATCTTCCTTATTACGAGGTATCATATTACTGTTTGATATTTTGAGTCCAAGATATATCTAAAAGAATATAAAGAACTAGGCATTATACTAATGAAATGAATTTACGACAAAATATGATTATAATTATAGCTCCAATGTTCAATGTAACCAACCATTCCACAAGATTCCTCTGCTTTGGAGTCCGTTATTAATAAATCACTTATCTAATATCAATTACAAATAACATAACAATAACATTGATTTTCAATAATCTAAATTTAAAAAAAAACATAACCCGAAAAAAAGAAACGTCAAAAAATCAATTCTTCTTCTTCTTGTCAACTAAAATTATAGATCAAGTGGTTTTAAAACTAAAATATTATAACGTGGCGCCATCTATCGTAAGAATCTTAAACTAAACACACTGACAACCATAGAAAAAGCTGGCAACGTTGTCAATAGCCTAGTGACGTAATTTGGAGATTTTTTTTTGTAAATATCTCGAAAACGGTAAAGTGAATTGAAATTCCGATTTCACAGAAATGTTTAAAATTACAAAACGCCTTGAATAAAACCATAAAAAGTATAGGTCAGAAAAAATTTAACTACCCCATTGTACATACATAAAATATTGGCGGGCTTCTGTACTAAATTTAAAAAAATTAGGGCGTAAAGTCGGCCGAATGGACGGAGGAAGCGAAGACAGCGAAGATTACGACGAAACTACCAATGGGTATACCGAAGAAATCGACGCTGACGAGGTGGAGACCAAATTTAACCCTTGGCAAGCCGATATACACTACGGTTTGACGGTTAATCCTGCTGAAAGAGGGTGAGTACTCAAGTAGCAATAAAAAAAATCACGAAAGGTCGTCTGGTAGTCTAGTAGTCTGGTCAACATTTTATATGCGATTTTCACCAAAAAATGTTCCACCAGATTATGATCTATTCATTCCAGTTAAAGATAAATCAATTGAGTCTGCGGAAACCATAACGTTTTTGGGTATTTACTTGGATGGAAAGTTAACATGGGAAACACAAATAATAAATAAAAAAATATCTTTTCAGTCACATCTTGCCTATGGCATTAATTAAGACTTTTGTTTTCCATGCATCTGATCTTTTTTTGCATTATAACTTTGTTAAAATGACTATCTACATAGAGCTACCTCAAAATATAATGCCATAGACAGAGATTTTTGATATTTCTGAAAATAAAAAGACATTTTGGCTCATAGTAACATACATAGTTATTCAAAAAGAAGTCAAAAACTTTATAGTCAAAATTCTTTTTTTTATATGGAAATTAAATGTTCTGTTTTTAGAGAAAGAATTCTTTTCTGTGGAAGAGTTTCTTAATGATAATTTTTAAGATATTTTAGTGTTTTTATAATTTTACTTGACTGGTCCAATATGTTTTATATAGTACAGGGTGTTATGTAATTAATGTAATATATTAAAATACTAAATACCTTTTGACATAAGATGTAAAGAAAAAAATTAAAAAAAAATATTTTCCCAAACGCACTTGTGAGTTCTGTGAGTACATTAGACTGGGCCAAAAAAAATTGACTATTTTTTTTTTTGAAAATTATATCGAGATTGTCATTCAGAATGACAAAAAAAAATTGGTGAAAATTTGAGCCCTTAATATTAATTTTATTAATAATATTTTTGATTTTTAGTCATAATTTGATGTTTTACGTTAGAACTGTCAAAACATTGAAGTGAAATTCCTTTTCATTTATTTTTATATAAAATTAAATTCTCTACAAAAAAGGTCTGATTGAAAATTTTCATCAGACGAGCCGTTTCCGAGTAATTGAGCTTAATAAATCGATGTGTTTTTTCGATTTGCCCTTTTACTTTGAAATTTTGTAACTAATGAGTCAATGAATATTTAAAAAATCTGGGCCAAAAAAATCAACTATTTTTTTTTTGAAAAGTATTATTAGTTTTTGTCTCAGAACTCCCAAACCATTGAGTTTAACAAAATTGGCTCAAAAATATTTTCGTTTTGACTTCAAATTTAACCTTGATTGAGTGAATTTAGCCAAAAATGATAAAAGACTTTTTTTGTAGAGCATTTGATTTCCCATAAGAATATTTATCGTTTTTTTTTTCAGGGTACTGATTTTTACTTGAATTACAAAATTCCAAAGTTAAAAGATGAAATTGTAAAACTATACCAATTTTTAAGGCGTGATTGTAAGAAAAGGGTTCATCTGACGGAAAATTCCAATCAAACCTTTTTTGTAAAGCATTCAATTTTCTTCAAAAAATATTCTTAAGTCAATTTTGTTTAACTCAATGATTTGGAGTTCTGAGACGAAAACTCGTTCAGGAAAAAAAAAACTAAAATTGCGATGATAGACCTTTTAATATTAATATTATGGACTCAAACTTTCACCATATTTTTTTTTTGTTAGCCCAAACAATATTTTCGATATACTTTCCACAAAAAAAAATGTTCGTTTTTTTTTGGCCCAGTCTAATGATTATAATCGACAAAAATTTGGAAATTTTCAAAAAAATTGACTTTTGCATTTTTTCGTATTACCCTTTAAATAAAATTAAAAAAAAATTAAAAAGTCAAATTTTCTGAAAATTTCACAATTTTTTCGTATTTTTTTCCGCCGGCCCAATTTTTCCGGAAATTTTAAAACCCAACCATAACCTAATATATTAAATTAGTCCTAGTAGAAAACCAGTTTCAGGTGCTTTATGAACACTAAGGAATTTAAATATATTAGGTACATTAATTACATATTTAAACTGTGTGATCAATAAATATTAAATTATTATTGTTATCAATTATTATTTAGATTTGAGGTTGGTAGATGAAGTATGATTTTGAATTAAACTGTCTTGGACTATCTTCATCTTTGATTCTTTTATAACACAACGATTCAATCAACTATCTGTGATCGTTTTCAAGTGTGGAATGATCAAATTTCAAAATGTAAAAACTATAGTAAACTATAGAGTCGTGTATATATAGTTTTTACATTTCTACACTTGAAAACGATCACAGATAGTTGATTGAAACGCTGTGTTATAAAAGAATCAAAGATGAAGATAGTCCAAGACAGTTTAATTCATCAATTATTATTGTTATTATTATTAAGGAGTGAGGCCTTGGAAGTTGGTCACACAGAAGAGGTGGAAAGTTCCGGCGAAGTGACCAGCGCCTCGCAATTCCCCTCTAACCTGGTCATGGTCAAAACGGCTTCCGGTAAAAACGTATACCTCAAAGTCGTACCTCAGGGCAACAAAGTGCTAAGCAACAACGTAAGTGCCGAGGTTTTGTCGCTGCCGCTGTAAATTATTTTGCGTCGTTCCAGGTTCCAAAAACGTTTTACCTTAAGACAGCCAAAATAATAAAGCAGGCCCAACAGCAACAACAAATAGCGCAACACCCGCAAATCGTGATGCAAGAAGGCGAAGAAATCCAGGACGACGAAGTCCAATACGAACAGGAAGTCGTCGAAACGGAAGAGCATTTAATGAACGAGGAGGAAGAAGAAGAAGAGGTGTGCGAGGAGGGTTTGGTGGAGGAAGAAGTGGTCGTCGAAGAGGGCACCTTTTTGAGCGAAAACATCTTCGAAACGTCGTTCGTACCTGAAACTGAGGAGGTCTTCGTTAACGAGGTCACAATCGAGGACAACGTTAACGAAGTCACCATAGAAAACGGACCGGAAGTGGTCCTGGGCGAAGAGGTCGTCGTTAAAGAGGAGATTATCGAGGACATTGTTCTAGAACAATAATAATTGTATTTAATTTTATTTATTTAACTTTTAAATTTATTTTTATAGCCCGGGTCACCAAAGAATGAGTCTTCTTCGTCGTTTAGTTTTTTCCAGATAACTTCTTTCCCAGCGGTGGCATCTCAAAATGTGTTGCATAAAAATTGTTCAGCAATAAATCTCTGCAAAAAAGGTTCAGTGATTTTTTTCGGTAAAATAAACCGTTTGGCTAATATCGCGCCCCAAAGTTACACTTCAACAAAATATGAACGTTTCAGAACAGCTGACTTTAACGATCTATAACTAAAAAACTACAAAAGATGGACATATGCGGTTTTCACCAACGAATTCAACATTCTTTTGCCATCATTTTAAGATTTTCACATTAATTATTTTTTCTATTTTTCACTTTAAAATTTGACGTTTTCTGTCAAAAAACACAAAAATCGTGTGACATTTGAAAACGTTGATTACAAAAAATCCCAACAATATTTAATAAAACGCGTAATATTAAATAAAGAAAAAAGGGTGTAGAATTCATTTCCGAAAATGATTTTTTTCGTTTTTTTTTCGGTTTAGAAAATATCGCGCCCTTAAGTTGACCTTCAACAAAAAACGTCGATTTCAGAACAGCTGATTTTAAAGAACTATAACTAAAAAACTACAAAAGATGGACATACGCGGTTTTCAGCAACGAATTCCACATTCTTTTGTCATCATTTTAAGATATTCACATTAATTATTTTTTCTATTTTTCACTTAGAAATTTGACGTTTTCTGCCAAAAAACACAAAAATCGTGTGACATTTTAAAACGTTGATTACAAAAAATCCCAACAATATTTAAAAAAACGCATAATATTAAATAAAGAAAAAAGGGTGTAGAATTCATTTCCGAAAATGATTTTTTTCGTTTTATTTCGGTTTAGAAAATATCGCGCCATTAAGTTGACCTTCAACAAAAGACTACCATTTCAGAACAGCTGACTTTAACGATCTATAACTAAAAAACTACAAAAGATGGACATACGCGGTTTTCAGCAACGCATTCCACATTCTTTTGTCATCATTTTAAGATATTCACATTAATTAATATTTTTATTTTTCAATTAGAAATTTAACATTTTCTGTCAAAAAACACAAAAATGGTATGACATTTTAAAACGTTGATTACCAAAAATCCCATATATTATTAAATTGAGATAAAAAGGTGTAGAATTCATTTCCGAAAACATCATTTTTCCATCTTTCATCATTTAAAAATTATTAACGTCAATAAAGTCAATTCTTTATGAGAAAGTTTTCCATTAAATTCTAACCTCAATATCTCCTTAACGCCTTAATTTACGCAGAAAACGCATTCCATCTTTCTTGTGGATAATTTCATGACCAACAATTTTCAGGCAACACATTTTGACTCGCGATCGTATTAAGAAACGTATCCGATAAAAACGCAACGATAAAACTACTTTAGTGGCTGGGCCAAATAAAGGGTGTAATTGTCGAAATGGATCTCTTCTGCCCTTATTTAGTCGCTTAAGACAATGTTGTTTGTGCAAAAACAGACTGTACCTCAAGTTTTCTTAGTTCGTATGGAGTACACACCAATTTTATTAATCTAGTGAAATTTTCGATGTCGAGTGACTTGTTTGATGAATCGATATCAAATCGATACAAATTTAGTTAAATAGAGTATTTTTTATATCATTGTCGTTCATTGTTTATCGATTTCTTTCTATCCGACTACATGCCATGTACAAATTTGTTCAATACACATCTAAATATAGAATAAAAACTATCAAAAACAACTCACCTAGTTTTAATAACACAAATATCACTAAAAACAGTCGTCTGTAATAAAATAAATAATCAAAACTGCCATATATAACTGTCAAAACCGTCAAAATCAAATTTGCCATGATTTCCGTCAAAGTTGCCAACTTACCCCGTTTAAATACCAAAAAACACTCAAATTACGCCGTATATGCACTTTAAAGAGTAAATTAAGAGTTTTAAAACAACAAAATCACATTTCAAACGTAATTTCACTTAATAAAACCCGAATTTGTCGAAAATTGACATTCTAATTGTCAAATTAAGCTTTCCGTGACTTATGTCAAAGTTGTCAGCCCTGCGAATTGGCTTTTGTTTTAAGACTCTATGAATTTAAAAATGACGGGTGTCTGCTAAAAGTTTTAAATTTTATGTAAAATTCGGGATTTTTGTGTGCAAAAAGTGGGTGTAAGTTGTCCTTCCGTTTTTCCACATACATTTAATTGTTTTGTACTTGTTTTCACGATATAAGCGCGTTTTAGATTAATTTTGTCATAAACTGTCATTTTTTAACAAAATCAAGATTGCCAAGTTTTTTGTGTTAAAAATTAACGTGTGGAACTTCATGGAACATTGTTTAAACAACATGGAGATTTTTAAGGTAAGAAAATTAAAAAATCTTGTTAATACCACAAAGAGTGTTTACTTTTAATAATAATCAAAACTGCCATATATAACTGTCAATGACATAACTGTTTTTCCACATAAATTTAATTGTTTTGTACTTGTTTTCACGATATACGCGCGTTTTAGATTAATTTTCTCATAAACTGTCATTTTTGAACAAAATCAAGATTGCCAAGATTTAACTGTCAAAGTTGCCCACCCTGCAAATCTTTTGTTTTGGGACGCTATGATTTTAAATTAAATTTAAAAATGACATATTTAAATTTTGCCAAAAAACGTGTTTTGTGTTAAAAATTAACGCGTGGAACATTGTTTAAACAACATGGAGATTTTTAAGGTAAGATAATTGCTATATTTAACAATTTTAATATCAAAGTATTACACTTTTTGCCTGTGAAATGTTTATAACTAAAAAACAATTTGTTAATAATAAACTATATTTTTTAAACAATCATTACAAAAACTAACTTAAACTCTAAATTATATGATAAAATTATGTAATACAAATTCAATATTAATAAAACATAACATTTTATTCTTCTAATTTCATTTTTGGTATTAATGATAGCTCTATATCTGTCATAGCCCTATCAAGTTGTGCGAATAACATTTTAATCGAGGAAGTAATATCATTGTACTCCTGTAGGGTTCTCACAACGTTTTCTGTGCATTTTCTGCTCTCTTCGTAGATGCCAAGGTTTGAGACTGATAATTCTTCCAGTTTTTGAGACAGTTCAGTAACTTTTTTGATATTTGCCGAGTCAGTGAATGAGGTTAGACTTCCTATTGTGGCTATAGCTTGCACTGTTTCTTTTATCTCAGGGTAGCATTCGAGTAGATATTGTCGCTTAGCTTCAGTTTCAAGTTCTGTTTCTCCGTTGTTTGGGTCCAGGTAGTTGTTAATTGTCGATAAGTGTTGTAATATGGATGATATAGCCTCTCTGCAGCTCAAAGCCGATGTTAACATGTTGTGGGTTTGTAGTAATAGTTCTGTAATAGCTTGTGCGCTATTAATTTCGCCATTTTTCGGTAATACTTGCAGTTCCAGAGCTGTAATACGTTTTTCTAGGATATCCAAAGGATCCATGTCTACAAAATGTTTACATTAAGGCTTAATATGTTTTTTTTGTTGTTTTAACTTACTTGTGTGTTTAATTTTGTTTTTATTCAATGTAAATTTAATTAATATACAAAATACTGACAGTTCTTGGTTTTGACAGTTCTGACACACATAACCTAACTTATGCGCCGACGCAATGTGACTCATGAAATACAGGGACGGGCAATAAAAAACTTTGTAACTATTATATTTTTATTTGCGTATATTTCATAAATTAAAATATTATCATCAGTTTTGAAAATAACGGTTTTTCTTTATCTTAAAAATACACACAGTATTTTTTTTAACAATATTTTTCTTTCTTTTGTTTTTTTGAACAAGAACAAAGACATTCGCAAAAATATTTTGCAATCACAGACATGCCTTAATTAGTTGTTAATTATTTAATTAATTATTTAAAATTGTGTTATCTTTTCAATGAATTAAAAAAAATGTTTTTGAAGCTTTAAAAATACAGGGGTATTCAAATTGGTTATTTATATATAATTTAAATACCTCCGAATAATAAATAAAATTGTTAGCTTCAATAATATGATTTGTAGTTGTAGGAATGTTATACATCGCTTCTTCTAACATCCATTTAGTAACTCTGTTATAAGGACATTTATTTAATACTATACAGGGGTTTGCTATAAAATATGTAGGTGGCCATTTTGAAATAATATCAAAAAATGTTGCTAATCACCATTAATTTGTTCTAAATCTAAGCCGTAGTTAGATAAAATATGCTGTTATATAGAAAATGTATAAAAATTATTTTTGGGGTACACCAATCGCTAAATATCCTCAACAAATACTTAACAATCGAAATTTCACAATAAAACAGGGCTCATCTAGCAACCGGCGCGTCTCCTAACCTCAAAACCGAACTTTGTGCATATACCGACAGATGGCGTTGATGGGCGACGGAGGAAACGCGCAGGCGCGCGATTTTGGTTGCCTAACGCTAAAAATGCCGTAAAACATCGACTATAAACTAACCACAGCGCTATATTAGCTATAGTAGGTTGTTTGGAATTTCTTTGAGTTTGATTTTTTCACGTTGCGTCTTAGAGAATTGTGGAACGTAGGAGAACCATGGTGCCGGCGGATAAAAGGGCCGCTATTGGTACGGTGATGACCCATGCAGATATTATGTTCCTAAAATATGTCAAGTGTATGTTTTTTAAAATTATTATTATAATTTTTATTTACCTGAATAAACTCCAGTCCACACCCTTCTTTGACGCACTAAAATAACCAACAAAAACGACAGAACCCACTTTGCAGTGTGTGGTGGAAATAGGAATTCCAATTTTGCTGGCCAGTAATACTGTAAATGCTGCCCCAATTTCAATCGTAAAACCACTAAAATTAAAAAACAAATCGTAATAAACACAATAGAATGTTTTGAACTTACGTTGAAGGTGTTATTGTTGTTAAATCCTCTCCTATGGTTTCTATAACTCTTCTACCCCATAACCAAAGTCCCACGGAAATACCAAAACCCCCATAAAGTAAAATGTATAGAGGGGTTTCTGATTTTTGCTGTACACTTCCATCGGTGTATATAAGCCATAACGTGATCAGCGGACCAATTGCATTACTGAAAGAAATTGATTAGGATTTAAGCCTGATTTATAGATTGCCTTCCTTCCTTCCTCCCGTAGAAGATGAACAATACATACGGCACTACGGTTTTCGTATTGTCAATCTTTTACGGGAGGAAGGAAGGAAGACAATCTATAAATCAGGCTTTAGATAGAGACAGAGAGAGAGAGAGAGAGATCTACCTGACGTCATTTCCGCCGTGAGCAAAGCTGCCAAAGATGGCGGTGAGCACTTGTAGGAAGCTGAAAAGTTTCGAGACCCCCTTGTTCTCTACCAGCAGATCTGGATTTTCCTGCAACTCCAGCGCGCATATTCCTTGGTCGTTTTGTCTCGCGAAGCTCTTGTTCATTATCAACGGTACCCCGCTTGAGCTGGGCGACAGATTCGGGTTCACATCACCTAAAGAACAAAGTGGTTCAGTTGTTTTTTCATGTGCGAATTTATTCTTTAGGATCCTTGGTATAAACTCTTAAGCAATTGCTATTAATATCCCGGTAACGGGAATCTGAACAGTAAAGGTGGGAGAGACTAAGAAACCTCTGTTGATCGATAGTGTTTGCTGAGTCTCTCCCACCTTAACCGTTTAGGTTTCCGTTTCCGTTCTCGGAGCTTTACCAGTACTCTCGACGAGTTTAAGCTCGGTGGGTCGGATATTCGTTAGTTCAGTCTCTTTGGCCGGTATATAGCCGTTTTTATCACTATTTTGCAATGGAAAAATGTACTTGGAAGTGGCCAGACGTCGATCCAGCGCTTGCAACTCAGTGCTTTCCGAAATGACGGTTAATTGACGATCTAACAGGGTCGAGTTGCGGTTCGATACCCTCGGGCTTGGCTCCGGAGTAGTGTCTACGAAAAGAAACAAGTCTGTCGCGACTTTCTTCAATATCCGTAAACTCACCAGTCGATTCCCCGATATTAAAGTTAACTGGCGACTTGGGTCCGCCCATCTCCTTCAAAATCACCCTTCTTTGCCAAGGTACCACCACCAACCGTATAAATACCATGGCGACCAAGGCTATACCCACGCTGATCGCCACCGCAAGCCATATGGGGATGTTGTCCATGTGCAATAACCTCGGACCATCGTGAACGATGGAAAAAACGTTCACCAAAATTGTAAAACTGTAAAAAAATGGCAGTGACGTCAGTCCTGCTTCCAGGGGGTTGGGTCTCGACAGGATCAACTTTTTTATTATCCACAGCAAGGTTATCGAGGTCACACCGCTGAGGACTGGCGATATGAACCAAGAGCCGACTGGAAAAAATTATATAATTTTTTTAGGAATAGATGTTTCTTCTTACCAATTTTTCCAAGCATTTTCCACTGCACCCCCTCCATCCCTCTGGCGACCAGACTGTACCCTACCGTGGCCCCCACTATACTGTGTGTTCCGGATATCGGTAACTTAAAAAAAGTCGCCACCATGAGCCAAGCGGCGCTAGAAGTTAAAGCGCTCACGCAGCCAAGCATCAACTCCATTTCGGCATCCTTGTATAAATTTACGTCCAGAATTCCTTTGCGCATGGTGTCGGACACCTTATAACCTAAAAATCATAATATACAGAGTGTTACTGAGCACCTTGTACACGCACCAATCAGGATGGATCCAGCGACTTCAAAAACTGTTGCCAGGCAGCAGGCTTGGAAGATCGTGAGCACCTTGGAACCTACGCTGGTTCCGAACGAATTGGCAACATCGTTGGCGCCTATTCCGAAGGCCAGCACGAAGGCTATGATGAAACCGACCACTATGATCCACAGTAGAGAGGGCGAGTAGGGTTCTAACATTCTGATTTTTTTTTGGGACTAGACAGTGGTTCTGTGTTTAGTTGAAGAGTTTTGAGTTTGATGAGTTTTTATAGTTTTTAAGGGTTATTCTATATAGACGAGCATTTTGATTATTGAGGATGAGCTAAAAAAAAAAATAAACAGTGTAAAAAAAAACCTTTGATCCATAAAACAAATTTCAGGCTTTAAAATACAAATTAAAAAAGTAATAAAACTCATGTCATTTTTACCGGCCCGAAAGGCATTGCACCGGTGCGCTATCGATTTTCGGCGGAACGGTCATACACGTGCTCTAGATATTCGCGACGTTAAAATTTAATATCTACTAAAAGACATGCATTGAGAATAATCTACACAACCTAACATACTAAGAAGCGATCTACGATCTGTATTGTTCTAGCTTTTTCTACTGTTTATATTTACTTTTGTGAATTTTCCATTGTGGTCGAGGAAAAGCACGTCTTCAAGTCGCCATGACAAATTTTGTGGTCGGGCGTAGTCGCGCGGGGTGAAATAAACGATCCCGATCTTTGACGAAGGAAGTGATTCATGGGGTTGTTTCTGAGTTCAGATATGGTTATAATTATATTTTATTTATTTTTAGATTCTTCATCAAATTAGTCATCACTTTACCGTCTAGGAAACAAATACTCCCCGGATCATAATTTGCACCCCACAGCATACCACCCCACATACTTACAAAGCGCATGGCCGTAGACCCTTCAAAAACAGGTGAGCAGGGGAAAGTTGGACAGTATTTTACCACACATCATCCGACCACCTGATCACTCTTCAACCACTCTCAGTGCAAACAATTTTATGGGAAGTTGAGGCTTTCCTCTATGTAGGTACATGGAAATTCAATCCTACCTTGTTTTATTGATTTCATGAATGCAATTATCTGGGACAAGGTTAGAGATCGACGAGGGATGAATGGAATTGAAATTTAAATGCAATTTAATGTAATTTAATACACTCCCAGTTTTCTCGAATGGACAGTAGGTGACAAAAACACGACGCAATTTAAAACTATTTTTTATTCATAATATACTTTTCATTACAAACTAGCGTAATACCTACATAAGTACATAATATTTAAAAGAGTATATACATGGTCTTTGCCGTCTCACCTGCACATTGGCACGAATAGCTTGACTAGCGATACAAAAAAATTCTCTACGGACGGGTTTTAATATGTTAAAAAATAAAATCGACCAAAATTAATCTTACTGTAGATAGTACTTAAATATACACATTATTTACAATAACTTGCTGGTTGATACTAAAAAATACATAAATTATTAAATAAGTAGATTTTGACGTATGTGACTGCTTTCACTCTCAATTTTTTCAGACTCTAAAATAACAGTGAAAGTTGGTACACAAAACAAAAAAAAACAATGAAAAGGTAAAAAATAACAAATAACAATACAGAGTGTTTTACACCCTGTACATGTACCTAACCTAATCGATAATTGAGCTAATTACAAAATATGACCGAATCGAAAAAATATGCCACAAAAATAATTAGGATTCATCTACACAAACTGTACAGTCTATAAAAATATTATTCATCATTTACATAACCAGGCCTTTATTATCGGTGACATTTTTAACACGGCCTGCTACAAAAACATTAGGGGTTTGATCACAGCGAATTTAACAGTTACCTGCGTAAAATTATTCGAGAACAAATCAGACAGATCTCATGAGAGACGGTCTACCCACAGTGCTGAGCACCCACTGTCTGAGTTTTTCGTTTATTGCTGTGTAGATGGCGGGGTGCTTGGATTTTCCGCAGTTCTCGTTGTGCGAGAGCACGCCCTGTAGTTCCCAGGTGTGCGTCGAGTCCTCAAAGCACATCAGAGGAGCACCCTCATCGTTCTGAGAAAAGAGAACATATGTTAAGTGTGTTTTCAGTCATATAAATACAAGACTTACATAACATGGCGTTTTCTCGGGGTCTGTAAAACCAGCACAGATCTTGTCCTTGTTGATCATACCATTGTAATGTTTTGTGGAGTTACATTCTTCTGTATCCACCAAAGGTATCGGTAGGTAGTGTAGGTATTGTTGTTTGTTGGATTCTAGAAAAAACTATATTAGTAAAAAAAACCAAATTGTTTTTTGTTAACTGACCTCCTGGTTGGCTAACTCCCCACCCAGCAATAACACACAGCTGCCTTGGTTCTATATCTTTATCTGGTAGACAGATAGCACTTACGTTTCTTGTAAGCGTTAAGGCACTGTCTAACCTTACCAAAACTACATCGTTGTTGTATTGGAATTGGACAAATTTAGTCTGAAACATCAAAAATGTAAAATATATACAGACTTCCTCTTCTAGAAACCTACCTGTGGGTGTACGACTATCTCCTTGACTCTTTTAGATTGTGTCGTAGAGTTATCGCCTCCAAAGAAACTGGTACTGCCAGCGTATAGCATCCAATCACGTGCATCTTTAGAGGTAACGCAGGAGTAACTGGCAGCCACCCATAAGGGCGATATAACCGTTGCGGTACATTGAACGTTTTCTTTTTTGTTGTACAGTAAAGCAAGGCTCGGCCATTGGGTGTCGGTGGCTTTGCTACCTCCAATGATCCTGGGCGATTGTGATTCCACGCTCGATTCGCTGCCGCATGCTAAAAGTTTAGGGTTAAGTTTCGTTTCAGTGTTCTTTAAGGATTACTTACAAAATTCCTGGCAATTCAATGATACTATATTCGTGCACGACTCAGTTTTCTCGAGCAGAGTTAATATTGGCGCACCATAAGTCAATTGCGCTTTGAGTTTGTAGTATCCCTCAACATTTAAACCTTCTGGTTTCATCATGGATGCGACTGATGCAGATCCAGCGAAACCAAGAGCTTCACATGCCAAGTTGGCATAGGTTTCATTTAGATTGTCGAAACAAACTGGGTACCACGTATTATTCTTAGCTTGCACCTTAAGAAAAACGTTTTATAGTAACAATACGATTAAGTAGGAATATATAACTCACTTCCAAAACATTCTTCTCCTTATTGTTCAATCTTAGACAGTCCCATTCGTCCGATCTATCTAAACATTCGTAGATACCGTTACAACGTTGTTCCATGGTGGTGCAACCACTAACAGTCGCACATTTAAACTCTTCTGGGGCACATTCTACAAAATTATCGGTGATAAAACCACATAGGTACCAACAGAGAAATAAATAACGTACCACAAGACTGCTCATCCTCTCTATCAGCACAGTCAGATTCTCCATCGCACAACCAAGTTCTTGGAATGCATTTATCGGATTCCTTGCAGTAGAAATGATCATCCTGGCAAGTGCTTCCTTGACAGTTGATTTCATCTGAACCATTTGGACACTGGGCTTTACCATCGCACTTCCACAATGATGGAATACAACGTTTACCCTCACCGCAAGAGATTTCATCCGAAGAACAAGTCCACAATGCTAAAGATGCAACTTTAAGTATCTCTCCAAGATGTTTTTGTGTATTTTTGGTACTTACCACATTGTTCCTCGTCTGTGCCATCGTTACAGTTGATGACGCCATCGCACACTAGGTGTCTCTTCAAGCATTGACCGCTGGCACACTAAAAAAACATTATTAAGTTTAGAGTACTACAGTACTAAAAAAATCAGCTTACTTTGAAGTTATTAGGGCATCCCTCTTCTTGGCAGTTAACCTCATCCGAACCATCGGTACAGTCATCAACCGAATCGCATCTATCCTTTATGGAGATACAGTAGCTACCATTTTTGGTAGCGGTGCCATTTTGACATTGGAATTGTTCAGAAGTACATCTAGAGAAACTATGCAAAGTAAAGTCTTCGGTTACCGGTTTAACATCAGCTATATTAGTGGAGGCTTCGTATTCTTCCGTTGTTATCATCATTTCTTTGTCCAGTTTGGCTTTGAATTTGGATTTATCATCCAAGTAGCTCTTCTTGCCCGGTTTTTGGTACTTCTCGGTTTCATCCGAAGCTATAGTGACGGGTTCTTCGGTTGTAATAGCTTTATCCAGCTCGTTGAAGTTATTGGAGTCATCGGAGTCCAATTGGTTGAAGGTATCCTCATCATGCAAACTGTTATCTTTTGTTAAAGGTTCCACAGATAAGTCTTGGTTCGTCGACAAGTCGATATCGTTCGATTTCGTCGTGGCTTTAGATAAGACAAACAGTTTCTCAGTTGTTGTGATATCATCTGTGGATTCGTTGACTTTGTATTCGTTTTTAGCTGCCTCAGTGGTGGAAGAAAGATTGTTTTCACTTGTGGTACTTTCACTATCATTGACAACATTAACGACTTCATTTACTGTTTTTATTATCTCTGCATGAATTGTGGTGCCTTCGAGTGGACTCGTCATATTATCCATGTTCATTTTAAGCCCGTTTGTAGTCGTTTCCAATGCGATCAAGTCTTCGGTGCTTGAGCTCACTTCACTCATGTTGATTACTTCTTTTTCCGTTGTTGTGGTAGAGCTGGGTTGTTCTGTTTGTAGGATGGACTGTTCAAATACTTTATTGCTGTGAATGCTGTTGATAAACTCTGGGTTCAAAGTGACTTCTTCTTCTTTGGCTTCCATGGTTGGCATTGTGGTCATTTTTACTTCTGTGGCAATAGTTGTTGATGCCATTGTAGTAATCTCTGAGCTTGGACTTGTATCTTCTTTTGCTTCATTATCTAGTGGTTCCACTTTCAATACAGCGGTATCTGTAGGGTTGGGGTCCTGTGGATTTGTGATATTTATTTGATCATTATCTAGTCTTGGAGGTTTATTATCATTTTCATTTTCAGAGGATTCAGTTTCGTTTTGAATAATGTGGTGGCCAATAAAATGATCGTCAGAACCTAACGTATTAATGAACGATGTATCGTTATCAATATAAGGCAAGAACGGGTTCATATCAACAATGTTGGGGTGTTCAGTTTGCTCGAGAAGAAGATTTGACTCCTGACTTGTATTATTGCTTTTAATCGCTTGAATATTGCTCTTAACTACTACTGGAATATCATTGACAACCAAAGGAATAGTAGAAGTTTCTGGTGTTGTAGTAACATCAATCGTTGTTGTTTGGTTATGCTCTGTACCAACAATTACAGGAATAAAGAACCCTTGGTTTCTCGCATCTTCTACTGCCTTTTCTGTAGTGGTACTTTGCTCAGACCTACTTTCTTCTTTAATTTTAGGTATCTCTTCAATCATTGTCTCTTTAGCAGGTTCCATTGCCAATGTAGTACTAGGTTCTTCTGTGGTAGTTGGTGAATGACGTATTTCTGCTTTAGGAATGTAAATATGCAAGCTATCGTCTTCTGAAGTAGTGGTTTCTGTTGGTTCTACAGTTGTTTCCTTGTTCATTGGTTCTTCGGTTTTAGCCAAATCTACTTGAATGTCGGCCTTTTCAGATTCGGATTTTTCACTGCTTGGTTCTGGTTCTGCAGTTGGTTCAGGTTCTGATTTCGGTTCTACGGTTGTTTCGGGTACAGATTTTGGTTCAGGTTCAGGTTTAGATGTTGGTTCTGAAGTAGGTTCCGGTTCGGAAGTTGCTTCAGGTTCAGCTGAAGGTTCAGGTTTAGATGTGGGTTCTGCATTGGGCTCTGAAGTTGTTTCTGGTTCTGCAGAAGGTTCTGGTTTGGATGTTGGTTCAGCATTTGGTTCTGAAGTTGGTTCAGGTTCGGCACTTGGTTCCGGTTTCGAAGTTTGTTCCACTGTTGACTTTGATTCTAATTTGAGTTCGGGTTCAGAAGTCGGTTCAGGTTCTGCTGATGGCTCTGCAGTCGTTTCAGGTTCTGATTTTGGTTCTGGTTCAGGTGAAGGCTCTGCAGTTGGTTCGGGTTCTGATTTTGGTTCTGGCTCAGAAGTGGGTTCCGGCTCTGCCAAAGGCTCGACGGTTGGTTCAGGCTCTGATTTTGGTTCTGGCTCTGCGGTGGGCTCGGCGGTTGGTTCAGGTTCTGATTTTGGTTCTGGTTCCGAGGTTGGTTCAGGTTCCGACAAGGGTTCCGGTGTTGAACTTACAAGAAAGTATTCTTCATGTGTTCTAATGGTTGTTGTGGTTAAATGTTCTACTTTGGATTCTGGTTCTGCGGTGGGTTCTGGTTCGGATTTTGGTTCAGGTTCAGCTGTTGGTTCTGCACTTGGTTCAGGTTCAGATTTTGGTTCTGGTTCAGCTGTTGGTTCTGGTTCTGCAGAAGGTTCTGGTTTGGATGTTGGTTCTGATGTTGGTTCAGGTTCAGATTTAGGTTCCGGTTCTGAAGTTGGCTCTGCCGAAGGTTCTGGTTCGGATTTAGGTTCGGGCTCAGACGTTGGTTCAGGTTCAGCTGATGGTTCAGGTTTTGAAGTTGGTTCTGCAGTCGGTTCAGGTTCTGTTTTGGGGACCGGTTCAGAATTTGGTTCGTAGACATGTTCAGCATGATCTTCCCATTCTTGATGTACGTGTATTTCGCAAGTTTTGCCGTCAGTTTTAAGAGATTGGCCTGGAGGACATGTGCAAGTGAAGTCTAGCGATTCATAGTCGAAAAGACAGTCGTGTTCGCAGTCGTTGTTGTCGATTTTGCAGAGATCCAGTACTTTGTTTGATGTTACTTCGGTTTTTGGTACGTGGAAGTCTTGGATATACTCGTTGTTGGCAGTTAACATTTCAGAAACTTTCTTTTTGAGCATTTCTGGATCGATCGGGTCTGTTTGGGAGTTGCTTGCATCATCTTTGAAGTCCCATGAGATACGGTATTTAACTACGATACTTCCAATGCTATAATAAAAAAAAAAATTAATAATCTTGTGAAGTGTTGATGTGGCAGAAAAACTCACGTAAAGTCAACCACCTTAACTTTAAAAGTAGCATTTGCGTTTTTGAGTGATTCATCAGATATTAAAATTTTCATGATTTCGTTTTCAAGTTTGCTTGCCATCGTTTGGAATTCTTTCGAACTTTTGTTGGATAAATCTGGCATGAATTCAAAGTTGTCTATTCTCATCTGTGATTCTAAAGTTCGAGGTACTAAAACAGGAAGAATGTTAATGTTGTTTTTCTGTTTCATCTTCTTCAGATTTTCTTACTCGATATAGCAGTAGTTTCAGTAGAGGGGGGTATATTTGGTATGGTGCTTAGCGGGGGTGATGGAGTATTTTTCCTAACTTCACTCGAATTACCTGGATTGGAACCAACTCCTAACACTGAAGCGGTGTGGAAGTTTCTAGCTGTTATTGGTTGAGCGGCTTGGTTACTGAAGACACCAACTACAAAAAAAGTTATGTGTAAGAAGAAATCTTAATTCTGTCTGGTTTTCCTTGAAAAAGCAAAAATGCTTAAGCAATTCCTATATTAGTTAATCAAGCGTAAGATATCTGGTTTTAAAATGAATCATTACGTCCAGCTGCATTAAGAACTTTTGACGATGAGTCAACTTACCAGCAGCACATATAGCCACGATGATCAGGGCTGCCACCACACATATGCAAAGTCCCCAGCATATGCATTTTCCCTTAGATTTTTTGTTTCTTTTGTCCATCGTCAGATACAGCTTCTCGCCTCTGAAACAGGAAAAAAATATTATTCAAGGAATGTTTTTTTTTTTTGGGGTTTATTAGCTTGATGTTAATGCGCTATAGCTATAGCTTTTTTATATACCAGAACCATTCATATGCACCTTAACCAATTTTTTCCAAATTGAATGGCGGGGTAAATGTTGTGGCATTCGGTCTTTTAAATGTTGTTTCCTAGACAAAGAGATTGTGAAATAGGCACGTGCGTTTTCTACAAAAAAAAAACTCGATAAATCTTAATCGGTCCATTGGACTCAGGTCCGGCGAGTTTGGAATTCTTCTCGGTTTGTCAGTCCAAACAACATTTTAAAGAGTGAAAGTATTGTGTGTGTGTGTGTGTATACGTAATATGTACAGTTACAAACGAGTATTTAACGATAATAGTTCGAATTTTATAAAAGGACAAGTTTTGTTATATCTTGATAAAGCTATCTTGCCTAATACGTTAATTATATGTATTTAATCGACGTATGCACAAGACAAAGTTGTTAAAGAAAGTCTACATTTTTTGGTCGTTTTAAAAATTTAAATTTTAAATTATCGCATAAAGTAAAAATCAATATAAATAGAAGTGACTGGTTGAAAATGATAAAAAGTTGTGATTAACCTTAAAGTTATTAAAAATGACTGTTCGAACTGTTTTTATCTATGGACGATTAATTTTTATTGTTTTTTTTAATTAAGACTGAAAACTATTCATTAAAAAAATAAATATAAAAATGTGTGATTTTTTCAAGAAACCAGATGAAATCCATAAAAATTTAACCATTAATTTTTATTAAAATTGGAAATCTGAGAAAGTAATAATTGTTGTTTTTGTTAAAAATGATAATCCAAGAATTATTTCTGGTTATAAATATATTTACATAGTATTCACATTTTCTAATAATTTAACCACAAATTACATCCTGGATAATTGAATAATTACACAGGTCAGGTTTTTGAAAAATTATGACCCAAAAGTAAAAAAATGCTGAAATATTTTCTGTTGTGTATAATAAATAAAAATTATGGAACAAAAAAAAAATGTTAGTAAAAATGTGGTGTATTTTTCTGTAGCAAAGCTTGTTTTGGACCTTGCCCCCGCCCAATAACTATTACTATAGCGGCTAGTAAATTAATGATGATTAATAAAAAAAAAAAAAAATCTCTCCAAAAACTTAAGGTTGCATATGATTGGCCGAGGTATACCGTGCGTTTCTTTGGGCCAGCCATTCGGCCGGGAAATCCAGTATGACTACCGGGGGGCCGGTATTCGCCGCCGGGGGGGCTGGGGGGGCCGGCAGTTGCGACCTCTCAGGCAAGGAGGAACGTTTCATGGAGTGGGTCGATAATTTTTTCGGGTGCGTTTCGATTTCAATGCCAGAGCTTTCTTTGGAGCCTTCTTCGGCGAAGGTCACACTGTTACGGCTCCTTCTAAAATTAGTACCTGTGTACTGCACTTAGTCACAACAGTATCAGTTACCTAGCATAGGTTTCCGGACAGTTTAATCAATAATAATTTATTGCAAAAAATATGAAATCTGTTTTACTGACTTATAAAATGGAAGTGTCAGCAGTTTTTAGACAAACTCATAATTTATCCGGATATGATGGCAAGAGCGACACATCCTAATTTTCTACGCCTTTGTGTGGTTAAAAACGGCGGGATAGCCAAGCAAGCATATTTTGCGTCAGTTGTCCTAGGTCAGGATTAACCAGTGGCGGCCCGATATTGCTACTTTACTTATAAAAATTTGAATGATTTTTTTATTAAAAAAAAGGAACTAATGAAAAAATTATGAAAGAAACCCTTAAAGGATGGTGAAAACTCATAATTAAAAAAAAAATTAAACGAGGTTTTTTTTTTACTTTTTTACTATCCTGGTACTACCAAAAATTTAAACTTTTAACCCCGACCACTTTTAATAAAAAAATTAAAAGAAATCCTAAAAAATGGGAAAAACTCATAATTTAAAAAAAAAATCAAACGAGTTTTTTTCTTATTTTTTTACTAGCCCAAAAATTCAGATTTTTAAATTAATTTAAAACCTGAGCCCCGACCACTTTTAATAAAAAAATTGGAACAAATCCTAAAAAATTTAGAAAACTCATAATTAAAAAAAAAATCAAACGAGGTTTTTTCTTACTTTTGTTACTATCCTGAAAGTACTCCCAATAATTCAGATTTTTAAATTAATTTTTAACCTGAGCCCCGACCACATTTAACAAAAAAAATTAGAACAACTACTAAAAAAGTGGGAAAACTCATAATTTAAAAAAAAAATTTAAACGAGGTTTTTTCTTACTTTTAATTTTAAATTTTATGGTTCAAATGCGTTTTAACATCTTTTTTTTCTGACATTATGCTGCACTAACAAAACACCTCTATTAAAAATTTTTAAGTTTATTTTACCAAGTAGATATTAATATGAAAAATTACTATATTATGAATAAAATAACAAGAAACATTATAAATAGAATGTTAATTTACTTAAAAATACTAAGAATTTATTTTAATATCTTAATAATTATAGATGAGTCATTCCTGTAAAACCAACGTTTAAACCTAATAACATTTATTTTTGCACAATGTAAAGACAAGTCTGGACCTAAAAAGATATCAAAAATTTCTTAAAACCGTTTCTAGGATATGTGGGGAAATCAGTATTACCACAAACACTAAGCGTCATAAATATGTTAAGAATTGCAAAATTTAAATATGAAAAATACGAAGGCGTAGAAGGGACACAGCACAAAAAAAATAATTAATTTTAAAATTTCGAGTTATAAGTCGAAATTTTACCCTAAAATTTCGAGTTATAACACGAAATTTTAAAATTTCGAGTTATAACTCGAAAATTTACCCTAAAATTTCGACTTATAACACGAAATTTTAAAATTTCGAGTTATAACTCGAAATTTTAGGTTAAAATTTCGACTTGTATCTGTATTTTAAAATTTCTAGATATAACTCGAAATTTTAAAATTTCGAGATACAAGTCGAAATTGTAACCTAAAATTTCGAGTTATAACTCGAAATTTTAAAATTTCGTGTTATAAGTCGAAATTTTAAAATTTCGTAATATAACTCGAAATTTTAAAATTTCGAGATACAAGTCGAAATTGTAACCTAAAATTTCGAGTTATAACTCGAAATTTTAAAATTTCGTGTTATAAGTCGAAATTTTAGGGTAAATTTTCGAGTTATAACTCGAAATTTTAAAATTTCGTGTTATAACTCGAAACTTTAGGGTAAAATTTCGACTTTTAACTCGAAATTTTAAAATTAATTATTTTTTTTTGTGCTGTGTCCCTTCTACGCCTTCGTAGAAAAATGATAAAAAACCACAATAAAAATAAGACGTTTAGAAAACAATTTGTTTTTTTCCATCTTTAAAAACACAAACAATTTAACTGTTATTACCTCTGTAAGTTTAATTTGTTTAAAAACATCAACAAATAGAAAACAACAATTACAATAGGTGCTAGTTTATACTGGCGTTAAAAAATATTGTAAAAAAATATCCCACACTCACTTCTGAAGTGGCTATTGTATGTAATAAGTTCTAAACTTTTATGAGGTAATTTTCTGATAACCTGCTGGAAAATTTTCGAGACGTGGATATAGGAATAATGTATGTGTGTGATAAGATAAATTGAGAAAGGCAACCACCCTGTATAACATTACAAGAAAAAATTAAATAAAACATGCTTGTAGCAATTTAGAATGTCTTTTACTTTTTCCAAGCAGTGTAGTCTTACGTAAACTATGAAAGTAAATAGATACATGGTTAAAATATGCGACGTCCTTGCCAATGCATCAATTTTAAAATCTTAAAACTCGTTTTAAAACTGCACAGCATAGCGAAATATGTGTTAAAACGTTTTCTAAAATTCTTATAGTTTTGATATGCATTATAACCACCCATAACATAAAAATGATGATAATAATAGGAAGTAAGATAATATTTAAATTTTTGGTAGTTAAGTCCTTCAAAAAATACGTTGGTATTCCATAGCGGTGCGTTCGTAAGACTTTCTTTGAATATTAATGGTATTCCACACGAGAAGTTTTAATATAGGCATGATAAAATTGAAAGTATTGTATGTTTTATTCAATTCCAATAATATCATCCTCAATGTTACTTCCTACATTGAAATTAAAATAACTTACCTCATATATTTCTTGTGTTCGTTTACAGGAACGAAGTAGTCGTTGTACGGGTGACTTTCAGTTTCGTCCCTCTCTTTTTTCATCGGAATTTCGGTCATACCATTCATCCCGTTCGAACCGTTGCCCATTGCATATGGTCCCGTCACATCCTGGTTGGGTTTCAAGTTTATCAGTTCCAAGTTTACCGCCTCTGCCGGCGGTTCCTCTTGCTTGGCTTTGGCGGGAGTACCCATGTTTATTTCTGTTAACGAAGAAAAAATTGTATTTCTATGCGCAGATTCGGAAAGCGCGGGAAAAACCAACCCAATTTGATGTATCGTTTGTTTTTCTAGCTCGATAATAACGATGGTATACCTATTCGGGTACCTAGGCTTACCATCGCCATTTTGGAGGTACTTTAACAAACGATACGTCAATTTGATCGAATTTTTCGAGAGGAACTCATTAATAAACTCAGAAAAACAATAAAAAATCAAACAAAAAAGTTACGCAGCAAAATAATCCACCAAACTATGTTTAGTAAGGTAGCTACAATCTTACTTTGTTTTGGGAACTTAAAACACTATATTCACAAAACTACAATTGTTTCATTAACCACACATAACTATTAACACTTATACTTGTAACAGTAATTGTTGACGTTCAACTGAAGACTGATAATAGCTTTCTAAAGAATTTGTAGGAAATATTTGAGCTATGTTAACATTAAGTCGATGATGATGATCGGTTTTCTAATGATTGTTTAATTGTTATTAAATGCCTTGCAAACATCTACACTATAAGGGAAATTTTTGTCTGTCTCCGTGTTAATCTCTGTAGGTATTGTTGTGTAATTATTTTTTAATCCCCTTAGGTGAGTTCGAAAGATTAAAGGTAATTGAATTTTGTTGCATTTTTTATAGAACCACAAAGGTATCAAATACTGTGAAAGGAACTGAAGCACTTTAAAATTAACACGTTTACATAAGTACTTGGAGTAAAGTACATGAATTTAAATGAATTACTCATACTATAAACTAATTAATCAGGTGAATTACCTCGATGTACTGTACCTGACAATTAAATCTAGTGGATTATTCGATTAAACTAAAATTTGGTACAGTTAAAAAGTCAAGAACCACATGCTGACTGTAATACCTGGATAATTCTTCTTGTAGTCTCCATTGTAAGGCTTCTTGCTGTCGAAGGTACTTTTGACACTTCCATTGCCCATCTCCTCGTCCTGGTAGGCCATGTTGTCAACGCCCCCACTAGAATCCTTGATTTTGGGGCTTTCGGCATTTAAATAGTTGGTACTCTTGTAATTCCTGCTCATCTCCTCCAGATTGCTGTGGTGTTCCAGCGTCTCGTTGATGTTCAAGTTGGCCGTGGAGAGGTAATGAGGCTCCTTCGATTTCGCAAACTCCGCCGGTACGTCGTCCGTTTCGTCGTAGTTTACAGGCAGGGTCACCTCGTTTTTGTGGTAGAATTGAGGTTCGCTTTCATTGAGGGTTGCCATGGTTACTTCCACCTCGTGGTGTGGGATCGTGGTGTCCAGGGAAGAGTTGTTTTCTTGGGTGGAGTTGCAGTCTTGGGCTGTGTCGCTACCTCCGTAGCTGCTGTCTGCATCCATTACTGAAAAAATTGTCTTATTAGGTTTTGATGTGATGTGATGTGTTTTCTGTGAGCAGATTCGGAATGCCCGGGAAAAACCAACCCAATTTGATGTATCGTTTGTTTTTCTAGCTCGATAATAACGATGGTATTCAGATAAGTTACCTATATCGGGTACCTAGGCTTACCATCGCCATTTTAAAGGTACTGTAACAATCGATACGTCAATTTGATCGAATTTTTCGAGAGGAACTCATTAATCAACTCAGAAAAACAATAAATAATCAAACAAAAAAGTTACGCATCAAAATAATCCACCCAACTATTTTTAGTAAGGTAGCTACAATCTTAATTTGTTTAGGGTGTCAAATATGAACTTAAAAACACTAGACGTGCAGATATACAGATTTGGTTTTTGACAGAAGCAAGGATAAAACTGAGTACAACCAAATGTGGACAATCCACGCGCCTTTTTACAGCCAACCACGACACCACATTGCGACACTACGTACAATGTTGTGTATTATGTTTGCAGTGTGATCTAAATGAAAAAAAATTATATAACTTTAAGGGAAACCCTATAGTACTTCAAAAAATGATATAAAATCGTGTGAAACTAAGGTATGCATACGAGACTCAGGAAGCCTTTTCAAACAATGCAATTTAAACCTAATACTTGTGTGTACGTGTATATAACATCTTATGGCAATCTTTGCAGGAAGGCTCATAAGAAAAGGGATATCGCTGTACGTGTTGCCAACCGTTGAGACAAAACAAATAAAATTCACTGACCGCGGTAAAACAATTACATGCGTCTGACACTTGTTGTTTACAGTCTGGACACGCAGCTACGATGTCTGGGATATTTTTTCTTTACGTTTCAGATAATGCCACAGGGATATTCAAATTTATAGTTAAGGGTTTTGTGATGTGAATTAAGTACTTTTTATATAAAGTTTTACAAATTGAGTGTGAAACTGGTCTAGATAAGATGTGATGGTAAAAAAGTAGATCAGTGTGTTTGCCTATGGGCAAGAAATAAATAATTTTCTGTATCAAGACAATTATATTCTACCTGAAGAAACAATTTTAATGTTCTTTGAATGAAAACGCCCTGTGCAAATAGCTTCATAACTATGTGAGATAATAATTTCATAATTGAGACCTAATTGAATTATTATTACAAGGCAAAATAAATGGGTTATTATTTTCTTAAAGGTTATTTAGATTGTTAACATGAAGGACATAATAACTGTGAATTTGTATAAAATTGTATACAGTCTTAAAAAAGAGTAAAATCTCCTATTACCGTGAGAATACGCATTGATAATATATGGTAAGGAATTTTAGAAAAAGTGACTTCTTCTAGTTTAATTCACTCTTATACTCTCCTAGTTACTTATAAGTACTTAAACACGTGTAACAACCTTAGAAACATAATTGTATGGAAAAAGATTTTCTTCCGGAAATTCCTTTTCATCTTAATACATCGAAATCTTTATGCAATCTACAAAAGTTTAAAAAATAGCCTTTAGTTTCAGGCATTTGTTGGGCAGCCACTGGTCACGATATTTCTAAAAAGAATAATTACAAAATCTTTTGTAAGTCAAGAAAACAACTGTTTGGAATGGCTAATTTTAACGTGCTCTACTGATTTTGATGCCCTATAGGTTTTCGTGTTGGTGTATATCTTTTCAAATCACCCAGTGTAGTTCCTCTTCGCATGTCTTATCTAAACTTAATTACAAAGAACAATAGCTGGACATAGGATATCATTTTTATTGCTAACAAACAAAATTTACAACGAATTTGAATCGTGGCGATAAGAAACTTTTTTTTTATGTATTTTTTTGGTATGCGGATCGATTTCGTAAACTTTTATTGCAGTCAAATTATTCATTTAAAAGTATTAAATTTAAATTTTAACACAATAAGTTTGTTGGGGAAATAGGTAACTAATTATAAATTTACTTTTACTACCAGACCAATTAACATAATATTAAATATACATTCACTTAAAAAAAAAAGTTGTATATAATTTATTTAAGTGGATAGATAACATTACATAGTTTTTAGGTAGGTTAGGTATATAAAATTTAAAATGTAGGTTAGATTGAACGGTTGTTGAGTCAAATCATATAAAAAAGTAGTTAAATATAGGTGATAAGTACCATTTTTAAATACTAAAAATACCAAATCAAACTGGCATAAGCTACAAACTTAATAAAAAAAAGAGTCCAAATAAAAAAAATTAATTTTGTATTGAGAGACCCCAACAAGCGAAAGACGAGAAACCTTTTAACAATTTCAACAAATTTATGATTATTTTAATTAAAAATTTTTTTTTAAATGTTTTATTTATAAATGCTCAAGTACTTTTATTCAGAGCAACTTTTCGTCCTTGCCCACCTTTAAATATTTATTTAATACAATTCTTAACCTCAATTGAAACACATGTGGGTTAACTTTAGCAATTTGCACACATTTTTAAGGTCAAATTCTGATCATTAATTCTTCCACGTCACAGACAGGAAAAACACCTTATTTTATAAAAAGGTTAAAATCAACTTAAATTAAGATACTTTTGTTGGGACATTCAGGTGTTAATTTCGCTAATAAGGACTTGCGACGTTTCGCGTCAATTAGCACACTTAGATATTGAAAAATAATCTCAAATTTCTAATGGAAATTTCTATTTTTGTTGATTGTGCAAATGTCAACAAGCCTCTATAATAGCGTCAATAGATAGGTTGCTAAAAAGTCGTAATCATTAGATGACGCTGTATACAATTATAACTATCTCAGTCGGTAATAATATAGAACTACTTTATTTTGGGTCCAATATACGACAAAAAGTTCGCACGTTACTTTGGTGGTAAGATTTTTGTTTTTTTCTTAAGAGCAGGGCTGTGTTTAAATTACAATAAAAAATATTTCTTAAAAGTGTACAGTTCAGTGTGTGGTATAAATGTGTTCCTCATGGTTTAAACATTGTCACTTTAATGCGTTTTAATATTAATTCTGAAAACAAATAGTAAATTTGCTAGTGTCCAATTACTGGTTGGTAAAAAATTGGACATATGTCCAATATCATACTCTATTTGTATCCCGGACATTTACCAGCCAATTCTTATGTAAAATTGTCCCTTGAATCCGAAAAGACCGTCAAAAACTATAAAATTAAGCAGTTTTTGAGATATAGTCAATTCCATATTATATGTAAAATTGATTATTTCAAAACTTTTATAACTTTTGACGACATTTTCGGATTCAGCGAATAATATTTCATAGGAATTGACTGCTAAATGTCCTGGATACAAATTGCTGTTGACGAGAATTATTAGTGGCTGCTTTTTCGCTATGATATTTTTGACTAATTCATTTTTAGAGAGTAAGTAATATAGTGATTTTTTCGTCACAGGATATCTTGCAGAATAACAGTGATTTAAATACAGTGCATGATAGAGAACATAAGAAACTAATGGCAACAAAATTAATAAATTCGAAAAAATATTAGATATATATAAATCATCCTGTTCCGGCCTAAACATTGTAAATGCTTCACAAACTCAGAAGTCAGACCAAGGAATTAGTAGCTACCAGAATCCAGAAAAGGGATGAGGAATCCGAGAAAGAAATATATGAATTATATGATATTTACAAAAACGAAATAAAAAAAACTACCTAAAACAGCAATTTATCTTTAAAAAATATTTAACATTTTATGTTATTTGATGTAAAGTTGTTATAAAAAGTGTATGTCCAATTACTATATAAAATGTCCAATTACTATACTTTTTTGCATGTTTTTATAAAACTATTATTAAAAATTCAAATATTCTTATTTTTAAGTAAACGTAAATAAAGTTTAAACAAACAAACTAACCTTTTATATATTTATAAGAAAAAAACTAAAATCTTTAAAACAACGGGATATATAAATTTTAAATAAATAATATTCCTTAAGTGTCCAATAACTGTGTAGTTTACCCTATAAAATTTCAAGCAAGTAAAATTTGTCCTTATCAGTGTTGTAGTTGATTTTGTATTGTGAAAGTGTCAATTAAGCTTAAAATCGGCATAAGGCACATACCAGTAGTGGTAAAAAGTTTTATTTCTTTATATATACAACATTTACCAACGCAGCGAGATCAAAATTCCGTTTGACTTTCGATTTCGTTTCAGGATATTCACATCTGTATATACTTTTATTTGTCGTTGTCTACTGAAAGCAGTTTAAAGTTAATGTTTACACGTGTTTTCACTTGTATTTATATGAATACTGATTAGGCTTACTATAGTATCGAATATATTTTTATATAAGTAATAGGTAAAAAAAAAACAAATATTTTTTATTAATTAGGAATACTTCTTGCTATTAACTACGAAGCTTTAGAAATGAGTAAATACACTGTTAAAAATTTCTATTGTAATTTTACTAAATATGTTTAGGATGTTTTTACGCACCACAATATAGTAATAATAAAACTCGGTTTTGTAAATTCACTACACGATTCATTACAACTCAATTTGGGAAAATTACAAAACGTTTGCTGAAATTCACTAAGCATTTATTAAAAATTTGTTCAGTAACATTTCTATACAGGTATTGCAATTTTTCTAAAAAAAATACTAAATATGTTTCGTAATTTTAAATGTTGTATTCTAATTATACTATACAATTCATTTCAACTCAGTTTAAGAAAATTACAAAATATGTTTTACAATTTTACTGAGCTGAAGAAATTTCGTTTCGCAATATTACAATACAAAAATTGTTATTTTGTACAAAAAATTAGACTAAAAATATTTAGTAATTTACGAATGATGGTATTGTAATTATACTGCGAAAAAAAAACTTAGTTTCTTCAAGAAACTTTCTTGACCCGTTACTGTAAAGATTGAAAAAAATTGAATGTTCACCTCGCCAGAGTCTTTGTTTTAAGTGCGTTCCACCAACTTCAAATACCGACAGACAGCTAGACAGATAGACCTATTTTGGGTCTTATCAATGTCGGGCA